TATTTGCATGGGAAAAAATGATACTTGTGTGGTATAATGAAAATTATACTGAAACTGAAGGGCATGGATCAAATCTCTTCATTTCTGTGGGCTTTAATTTCTTCATCCACAAAATATAATGTTCAACTAGAATATGACTTCTTTTGCATTTTTTCATGCTTCTAAGACCATTTCATTCAAAATTCAGGGCTATACTTCAATTCTGGCATGGATACTTATAAGCATTTGCATTTCGTCCTTGAATATGGTGTGGACTCTTCAGACCTTCCAGACTTAAAAAGCTTTATTCTATAGACTCTTCTTAGATGGAAGCCCCCAGGCCCTTTGATATTTTCTGTTTTCTTTGCGTTTGTGGAGATTTGGGTATTTTGCTTTTCTTGATCTACAGAACACTAAGTCTGTGTGTGGGGTTTGAGCAAATGTCTTCTGATTGTTTTCTGTCAATCTTTCTCATGAAACCCAAATTCTTTTTTATTGTTTCTCTGAGCTAAAGAGAGTCAGGGCACTGATATGATGACTTCTTTAGTCTTTGTTTTTTTTCTTTAATTCAATTCTTCATTCTGTTGTGATACATAAAGTTTATATGGCATTATGTAGAATAAATTACGAACATAACATGGTTTTTGTTTTCCATGGGCAACCATGAGTAATTGCTAATGTTTATTAACTTCTTGCAATATTCCATGCCATGTCCTGATTAGTGGTATACATTATTTCATTCAAACTTTACCATATACAGATTTTTACTATCTCTAAAAATCAGCAATTAAATGCAGTTTACCCAAGTAAAGTAGTCTTGAGTAGAGGAGATAAGACTTTTAGTCACTGGCATTTCATGTCAATAGAGTGATTTTTTTTTAATATTGGGGTTAACTGTCAGTGTTGTACATTCTGTGTAATAGTGTTTTGACAAGTGTATAATGGCATGTATTCATGGTTATAGAATCTTACAGGATACTTTCACTACCCTGTTCTCTACCTATTTATTCCTCCTGCCTCTTTTTCTAACTCCTGGTACCCACTGATGTTTTTAGTCTCCATAGTTTTGCTTTTTCCAGAATGTCATATAGTTACGTCATTCAGTATATACCATTTTCAGATTGGCTTCTCTTATATAATTATGCATTTAAGATTCCTCCATGTCTTTTCATAGCTTGATAGTTCATTTCGTTTTAGTGCTGCATAATGTTCCATTGTGTGGTTGTATCAGTTTATTTATCCATTCTCCTACTGAAGGACATTTTGGCTGCTTCCAAGTTTTGACAATTATGAACAAAGCTACTATAAACATTTGCATTAACGAATGACTTTAAATACTTGCATGGGAATATAGAAACTGAAACTCAAAGATTTGATTTAGGCCTAAAAGGTGGTAAGATTTTGATGAGCAGAGACAGATGGGGTGACATGCTAGAGGCAGTGGTGTGATCTTGGCTCACTGCAACCTCTGTTTCCTGTGTTCAAGCGATTCTTGTGCCTCAACCTCCCGGGTGGCTAAGATTACAGGTGCATGCCACCACATCTCGCCAATTTCTGCATTTTTTGTAGAGATGGGATTTTGCCATGTTGGCCAGGCTGGTCTTGAACTCCTGACCTCATGTGACCTGCCCGCCTTGGCCTCCCAAAATGCTGGGATTACAGACGTGAGCCACTGCATCCGACCTACATTTTTCAAATGCTTAACATGTACCATGTGCTGGCAAACTGTTAGATGCTTTAAGTTATCCTATCTAAACTTGATGTTCCTCTTCTGGAATGTTCCAATAACACAATTATGTCTTATTTTCATATGTATAAAGGCTAAAGCTAAGAAATGGTCTAACTTTTCCAAAGAAGTCACAGTTTGAACTAAATCTGACTCCAAAGTCTTTGCTCGTTGTGCCATCCTACCAGGCTCTCTATGCAAGTGCAAGGAGATCAGAACAAATAGTTGGCTAGATCATCAGACATAGAAAGGATACATGTGGCAATAAAGCTTGACAATGAGGTTGTTCAGCACTTTCACTTGGGCACTGTGGGGGTAATCTCTGGGCACTGGGGTACTCAGCATGAGGTCATTGGGTATAGAGGATGAGGGGGAAGATGGTTGGAAGGCCAATGAACAAGAGGAAAAACCATCTTTTTCTACTTCACAACATTGCTTAAACTTGATGGTATTGATGTTAGTAAGAGACTTCTGAGGGTGTGCAAACGTCTACCCCTACGTGACCTTCAGGAGAAGGAACAGGATGCCTGAGTCTGGAGTTCCAGTAGATCAGCTTCCTCCAGGTTGATCTACTGGAAGTCCAGACTCCAACCCGGAGGAAGTCACATGCACTTTGCTCACTCACTGCCTGTCAGCATCATGGTCCCAGAGCACGTCTGGTCACTAACACCCTTACTTCATCAGGGCCCTTCAAAAAGCTGGAAGATTCTTTAATCTGCAGGATATTTTTGGAGCTTTGCAAAGTCCGTCAAAATAATCACATCACAAGGGCTTTTAGATCAGGAAGTGAAAGTAAATTAGGGAATGAGGAAGCTTTATGTTTTTTCTCTTTTAATAAAAGACTTAAAGCCACAACTTTTAAAATCTAAATCATGGAAAGCTAGTGCTGAAAGGAATGCCTCTGATCTTCTAGTGGCTTTTGAAGATGAGAAGCTGCTAAGGAGATTATGCAACTTGCGTATGTTCGCACAGTGCCTTCCTGGCATTAGCACTCTGTTGCTGCACGCTGAGCTCTGTGGTGTTTGTGCTACTCCACAGACGGCTTCTTTATGACTTTATCAAGTGGCAATTCATGCAGGCAGCAACTAGCCCAGAGAGCAGTGGAGACATTTATTTACCCAGGGAACTATGGTGGTAGGGTAATTTGCCTTTTGACAGGTCTTCTTCCAGAGCCTTGCCCTTTAGCACAAAGAACACTAATTAGCCACCACACCATGAACACAGAGGGGAGAGAGCTAAAGACTCTTGCTTCTACCCGTCAGCACCTCTCTCCATGTGCTCAGCACGTTGAACTCATATTGCTTCTGCAGCGCAGTCCCTGGCAGGGCTTAGAACGGCTCTCCCTTCTTCCTACGCTGCCTGTTGGTTTTAGCTTGGTAAGGCTTGTGATCATACTTATCACAGAAATAGGGAATTCCTTGTCTGTGTGGGCAGGTACCAGTGGAATATACTTGACTGCAGCTACCAGTGTGCCAGGAGAGTGGGAAGTAGGAATTCCACTACCCAGGGCATGAAAACAAATCCCTCTCCACATCTTTGATTAGAACATCATGCCAAAATAACCTTGTGGGAAGAATTGTTGTTCTTGGCAGGCATAACAGGCACTTTTTTTTTTTTAGATGGAACCTCACTTGCTCTGTCGCCCAGGCTGGAGTGCATTGGTGCGATCTTGAGTTACTACAACCTCTGCCTCCTAGGTTTCAGTGATTCTCTTGCCTCAGCTTCTCAAGCAGCTGGGATTATAGGCATACACCACCATGCCCAGATAATTTTCTGTTATTGGTAGAGACAGGGTTTCACCATGTTGGCCAGGATGGTCTCGAACTCCTGACCTCAGCTGATCCACCGGCCTTGGGCTCCGAAAGTGCTGGGATTACAGGCGTTGAGCCACTGCGCCCAGCAGACACTTTTTCCTATTTTCTTTTTTAGTAGGTAATACAAACATATGGCACAATTTTTTTTTTTTTTTAAACAGCAGATCTTGGCCGGGCGCAGTGGCTCATGCCTGTAATCCCAGCACTTTGGGAGGCCGAGGCGGGTGGATCACGAGGTCAAGAGATCGAGACCATCCTGGTCAACATAGTGAAACCCCGTCTCTACTAAAAATACAAAAAATTAGCTGGGCATGGTGGTGCGTGCCTGTAATCCCAGCTAATCAGGAGGCTGAGGCAGGAGAATTGCCTGAACCCGGGAGGCGGAGGTTGCGGTGAGCCGAGATCGTGCCATTGCACTCCAGCCTGGGTAGCAAGAGCGAAACTCCACCTCAAACAAACAAACAAACAAACAAACAAACAAAAACACAGCAGACCATGAAAAGTAAAGGTTAATCTTACTCCTGACTTCAGGCTTCCAATTTTTTTCCCCCAGGGACAACATTTGCAACTAATATCTTGTGTATTCTTTCAGATATATTAATATATATTCTTTTAGTGCCCATATAGGTATTATTATTTAACACAAATGGCAGTATACTTAATGTATAATTCCCCCCCCCCTTTTTTTTTTTTACTTACTAGATCTTAGAGTTGGCTTCATATTGAACTTCTTTGTTCTTTTAACCACAAAAGTACTATAAACATTTTATCTATCAGGTTTCCTTTCTTCACTGTTTTACTTCTTTTTTTTTTTGCAATTGAGTACTGACTTAGTTCAAATTATGAGTATAATGCTATGTTATACAAAATGGGAAATTGGGACACAGTGAGACAAAACAGTATACCAAAGAAGAGTCTGGCAGAAATAAGGACAGATCTCAGACACTTGCATAAAAGAGCACAATACTCCTAATTTATCTTGAGATGTTATGGGAAAGCAAGAGGCAGGTTAAAGTATAGGTCCAATTTTCATATAAAAAGGCAAGGCTAGGCATGGTGGCTCATGCCTATAATCCCAGCACTTCAGGAGGCTAGGTGACAGGATTGCTTGCTGTCGGGAGTTTGAGACCAGCCTGGGCAATATGGCAAAACCCCATCTCTACCCACCAAAAACCCCAAAATACAAAAATTAACCAGGTGTGGTGGTGCGTGCCTATAGTCCCAGCCACACAGGAGGCTGAGGTGGGAGGATCACTGAGACCAGGGAGGTGGAGGCTGCAGTGAGTTGTGATTGTGTCACTGTACTCCATCCTGGGTGTAAGAGTAAGATCCTGACTCAAGAAAAAAAAGTCAAATCTTTTGTTGTTTTTTTTCTCTACAGGCTACTGCTTTTCTGCTTTGCTGTTCCATTGAATATGTCTTGCGAATTTCATTTGTTCATGATTTTTTTTCCTATAAATATATGTTTCTTCCTCCCTCAGGTACCACATCAGTATCCTCGAATTCAAAGTATCAAAGTACAATTTACTGGTAAGTATTGTCAAAAGTTTAATTGATTCATATCAATTACTTGGCTATTGAGGATGATATTAGTGCTAATATGGAAATAAAAGGAATTCAAGATTTTTAGCTTGCACTTGGAATGGCCCTGCACAAAATAACCAAACGTATCACTGCCTCCTACTTCTCTTCCTCCTTTTCTTTCTCCGGTGGCAGTGACTTTCTCAAAGTACCTTTCAGGAAAAACTAGCAATAGGAGGTAGAGACGAGAAGCAAGTCTGTGCCCTTGAGCTCTTCCACCTGCAGCTTTGGGAGCCCATCCTGAATCCACAGATAGGCTGTGCACAGCTGCGTTATTAAGCTTAAGCGACTGCTGGTACAGGCCATTAGTAACTGCTGTGGATAGGTCTGATGCCTGGGGCATGTGGAAAATTTGCATTTCATGGTCAGATGGAGACAGAATAGCAAAGAGTTGAAAACCACTGCGTTGAGTCAAGCTTCAAAGCAGGGGTAGTGTGCAGGGCCAAGGCATAGGGTACCACGGCCACCCTTTGCTCATAGTTTATCCACTGAGCAAGAAAGGAGGCACTGAAGTTGCCAATCCATCCCTGTTCTGAAAACTTGGGAAAACCCAAAGCCACCTTTCCTGGCATAGGTGTTTTGTGATAATTTCTATGATATCTCAGCTCCTGAATCTCAGCCCCATTTGAGACTCTCTTGGCTACTACTGTTAGCATAGCCTCTTCTTCCATTCCACAGGTAAGGCAGATTCCACCCCACAGGCAGAAACACAATGCTCTCTTGCCTTTATTCTTTCATTTTTCTTTTTTTTTTTTTGAGACAGTCTCACTCTGTCACCCATGCTGGAGTGCCATGGTGTGATCTCAGCTCACTGCTTTTACTCTTTTCAAAATCTCTCCCTATCACTTTTTCTTCATCTGATTCCAGATGTATTGGAAAGTTTGTTACCCAGTACTATGCTTAGGAATTAATTTAAAAAAATTTTCTCTATCCTCCCTAGAATATAAGAAGGAGAAAGGTTTCATCCTCACATCCCAAAAGGAGGATGAAATGATGAAGGTGCAAAACAACTCAATCGTCATCAACTGTGATGGGTTTTATCTCATCTCCCTGAAGGGCTACTTCTCCCAGAACATCAGCATCAGCCTGCATTACCAGGAGCATGAGGAGCCCCTCTTTGAACTGAAAAAGGTCAGGTCTGTCAACTCCTTGATGGTGGCCTCTCTGACTTACAAAGACAAAGTCTACTTGAATGTGACCACTGACAATACCTCCCCGGATGACTTCTACGTGAATGGTGGAGAACTGATTCTTATCCATCAAAATCCTGGTGAATACTGCGTCCCCTGAGGGGCTGATGGCAACGTCTAAAATCAGGCACCAGCACGAACACCAAGTTGGGGGCAGACAGGACACGGATTCTTCATTGCAAGTGAAGGAGCCTCCCAGCTCAGCCATGTGGGATGTGACAAGAAGCAGATCCTGGCCCTACTGCCCCTACCCCTCAGGGATATTTAAAATTTATTTTATATACCACTTCATCTTATTTATCCTTATATTTCCTAAATTGCCTAGCCCTCACACCCCAAGATTGCCTTGAGCCTACTAGGCACCTTTGTGAGAAAGAAAAAATAGATGCCTCTTCTTCAAGATGCATTGTTTCTATTGGTCAGGCAATTGTCATAATAAACTTATTGAAAATGGCAACTGATTACCATTTGCTGGAAATTTGACATGTGTGGGGCATTACCAAAATGAAGAGGAGCAAGGAGTAAAGGAGCGGGGTTATGAATCTGCCAAAGATGGTGTGAACCAACCCCTGGAAGCCAAAGCGGCCTCTCCAAGGTTAAATTGGTTGCAGTTTGCGTGCTGCCTAAATATAAACTTTCTCATTTGGTGGGGGTTCAAAAGAAGAATCAGCTTGTGAAAAATCAGGACTTGAAGAGAGCCATCTAAGAAATATCATGTGCTTTTTTTTCTTTACTATTTTGCTTTCCCAGCTTCCAAACATAGTTAATAGAAATTTCCCTTCGAAGAGCTATCTGGGGGTGTGATGCTATGAAAAGTCACTTAATCAGTGACTTAAGATTTTCTCCTATACAAGGAGAGCAAGATAATTTATTGTGAATGGTTAGCTGTACAGGATAGCAGGGAACTGGACCTCTCAGGATAAAAGTTATTAAGGATTTTAATAGTCTGGGGAGGAAACACATTCTTTGCCACAGACAGGCAAAGCAACACATGCTCATCCTTCTCCCTATGCTGAGGTACACACTCAGCGCCATGTATTGTACACACATGCACATTGCTGGTTTCAAGAAATGAGGCAATCCTATTATCAAATTCAATTTGATGTCAAATAGCATGAAGAAGTTACTGTGCCTTATGAAAAATAATGATCTCTGTCTAGAAATACCATAGATCATATATAGTCTCATACTGATAATTGAAACTAAAAGGATCTATAATCAGCCAATGCCAATGGAATAGGATCTTCAATGGAATAGGATCCCCTTAAGTTTAGTTGAAATGTCCCCTTGATATAACGTGTCATGCTTATGGCACTGTGGATAATATGATTTTTCATGTCAAGTTTCCAGATGATTTGTAACTTCTCTGTGTCAAAACTTTTATAAACTTAAAAGTTTTGAGATATATATTTTAAAATTGTAGCAAATGTTTCCTTGACACTTTAAATAGAGGACACAACATATCACAGGAACTTTCTGGATGATTCTGTGTTATCAAGGAGTTGTACTGTATTACAATTATCTCCAGAATCTCCAGAAAGATGGAGGGCTGTTTGCCTTTACACTAAATGGTCTCAGTTGGATTTTTTTCCTGTGTGTTTGATACCAGTTTTTTATTTCCTCTTAAGTATCTATGTTCAACTATATTCCCATTCCTCCATTTTAATCTGTTATGAAGGAAGGTAAATAAAAATGCTAAATAGAAGAAATTGTATGGAAACTAAGAGTAATCAATTTCTGAGTGGCTGCAAAGACACTCACAGAATCATAATCATAGCTAAACATTTATGGAGGGCCTACTGTGGACCAGGCACTGGGCTAAATACTTACAGTTACAAGAATCATTCTGAGACAGATATTCAGTGATACCTGTCTTCACTATTCAGAAGATTTGTGTGTGTATGTGTGTATAGTTCACTTTTTGTTGCTGATGATGTTCTGCATAATTGCAGTTACTCAGTGAGTGATATCTGGAAAAGTAAATGTTTATGACTATAGGTAATATTTAAGAAAACATCAGAGATTACTACAAACAGCTCTACTCACATAAACCAGTAAACCAGGAAGAAATGGGTAAATTCCTAGACATTTGTACTATACTGAGACTAAACCAGGAGGAAGCTGAAACCCTGAATAGACCAGTAACAAGGGCTGAAGTAGATGCAGCATTCAATAGCCTACCAACCAAAAAAAGTCCAGGTCCAGATGGGTTCACAGCCAAATTCTACCAGACATACAAAGAGGAGCTGCTTCCATTCCTTCTGATGATGGATGCAAAAAGCTTCAATAAAATACTGGCAAACAGATTGCAAAAGCACATCAAGGAGCTTATCCATCATGACCAAGTAGGGTTCATCCCGGGATGCAAGGCTGATTCAACATACGCAAATCCATAAATGTAATCTATCACAGAAATGGAACCGAAGACAAAAACCACATGATTATCTCGATAGATGCAGAGAAGGCCTTCGATAAAATTCAACAGCACTTCATGCTAAAAACTCTCAATAAAGTAGGTATTGATGGAACATATCATAAAATGATAAAAGCTATATATGAGAAACCTATAGCCAATATCATACTGAATGGGCAAAAGCTGGAAGCATTACCTTTGAAATCAGGCACTAGACAAGGATGCCCTCTCTCACCACTCCTATTCAACATAGTATTGGAAGTTCTAGCCAGAGCAGTCAGGCAAGAAAAAGAAATAAAGGGTATTCAATTAGGAAAGGAGGAAGTCAAACTGTATTTGCAGATGACATGATTGTATATCTAAAAGACCCCATCGTCTCAGCCCAAAATCTTCTCAAACTGATAAGCAACTTCAGCAAAGTGTCAGGATACAAAATCAATGTGCAGAAATCACAAGCATTCCTATATACAAATAAGAGACAAACAGAGAGCCAAATCAAGAGCAAATTCGTATTCACAATTGCTACAAAGAGAATAAAATACCTAGGAATACAATTAACAAAGGATGTAAAGGACCTCTTCAAGGAGAACTACAAACCACTGCTCAAGGAAATAAGAGAGGACACAAACAGATGGAGAAACATTCCATGCTCACGGTTACGAAGAATCAATATCATGAAAATGGCCATAATGCCCAAAGTAATCTATAGATTCAATGCTATCCCCATTAAGCTACCAAGGACCTTCTTCACAGAACTGGAAAAAACCACTTTAAACTTTATATGGAACCAAAAGAGAGCCCACATAGCCAAGACAATCCAAAGCAAAAAGAACAAAGCCAGAGGCATCACACTGCTGGACTTAAAATGATACTACAAGGCTACAGTAATCAAAACAGCATGGTACTGGTACCAAAACAGAGACATAGACCAATGGAACAGAACAGAGATCTCAGAAGAAACACCACACATCTACAACCATCTGATCTTTGACAAACCTGGCAAAAACAAGCAATGGGGAAAGGACTCCATGTTTAATAAATGGTGTTGGGAAAACTGGCTAGCCATGTGCAGAAAGCAGAAACTGGACCCCTACCTGCACCATAAAATTAACTACAGATGGATTAAAGATTTAAACATAAAACTTAACACCATAAAAACACTAGAAGAAAACGCAGGCACAACCATCCAGGACATAGGCATAGGCAAGGACTTCACGACTGAAATACCAAAAGCAATGGCAATAAAAGCCAAGATAGACAAATGGGATCTAATTAATCCAGAGCTTCTGTACAGCAAAAGAAACAATCTTTAGAGTGAACTGGCAACCAGCAGAATGGGAAAAAATTTTTGTGATCTACCCATCTCACAAAGGGCTAATATCTAGAATCTGCAAAGAACTAAAACAGATATAAAAGAAAAAACAAACAACCCCATTCAAAAGTGGGTGAAGGCTATGAACAGACACTTTTCAAAAGAAGACATATATGAGGCCAACAAACATATGAAAAAATGCTCATCATCACTGGTCATTAGAGAAATGCAAATCAAGCCACACTGAGATATTATCTCACGCCAGTTAGAACGGTGATCATTAAAAAATCTGGAGAAAACAGATGCTGGAGAGGATGTGGAGAAATAGGAACACTCTTACACAGTTGATGGGAGTGTAAATTAGTTCAACCATTATGGAAGACAGTGTGGTGATTTCTCAAGGATCTAGAAATAGAAATTCCATTTGATCTAGCAATCTGATTCCTGGGTATATACCCAAAGAACTACAAATCATTCTACTATAAAGACACATGCACATGTATGTTCATTGCAGCCCTGTGTACAATAGCAAAGACCTGGAACCAACCCAAATGCCCATCAATGATAGACTGGACAAAGAAAATGTGGCACATATACACCATGGAATACTATGCAGATAAAAAACGATGAGTTTGTGTTCTTTGTAGGCACTTGGATGAATCTGGAAACCATCATTCTCAGCAAACTGACACAAGAACAAAAAGCCATACACCCTATGTTCTCAGTCCTAGGTGGGTGTTGAACAATGAGAACACGTGGACTCAGGGAGAGGAGCATCACACACTGGGGATAGTTGGCAGAGGTAGGGGAGAGACAGCGGGGCATAGGGAGGGAGGGAGAAATGCCAGATACAGTATGCACCTAAAGTAAAATAAAGAAATTTTAAAAATATATATTTAAGAAAACGCATGTTTCATTTTTTTAAGTTTGGAATTGTCTATATTTCTCATGGATGTGCAGTGCACATGCCAGGCCTAAATATAATTGTTGTGTGCATTGTTTGTCTTTGATGTCATGGTCCCCTCTCATAGGTGCCCACTCCCTTTGGGTGCACCTGGCCTGCTCTTCCCATGTTGGCTTCTTCAACCACACAGGGATATTTCTGCTATGCACCAGCCTTACTCCACCTTCCTTCCATCAAAAATATGTATGTGTGTCTCAGTCCTTTTAAGTCATGTCCTTCACAGGGAGAATTAACCCTTTTATATATATGGCAGAGTTTTGTGGAAAGATAATAGAGTGAAAAGTCAGGAGATCAGAGTTTTAAATTTGACTCAGCCACTAACTAGCCAAGTAACTTTGGGAAAATCATTCCCCATTTCTGGTCTTGCTTTTCTTTCTTGTTAAATGAGAGGAATGTTAAATGTCTAACAGCTTAGAATCTTATGCTTATAGTGGTAGCTGTGAATGCACATATTAAATCTCTAAGCTCTGGTTGCTATGAGTCAAGGAGTGTAGGCCTTTCCTTTTCTATGTTGAATTAGCTTTTTCTCTGGACAAGCTTACATCTTCCCTTAGCCATCTTGGTGAGTCCTTTAAGAGCAGTTATCAATTGTTACTTAGAGATTTTCTGTTTAGAGAATGCTTACGGGATTCCAATCCTAATCCAAATCATATTTTGTTCTTAAGTTTACTGGGCAGGTCCCCTATTTTAAGCCATAATTTTGTGTTTAGTGTTTTCTTGGCTCTCAGAGAGTATTAATATTGACATTAATAGTATAGCTAATAGTAATATTGCTGTTTACATGAAATAAAAGATCTCTGAATTCACTAATGGTTAGAGTGCTGGAGTGTTCATTTATCCTTCTCTTCTCCATGTTCTGATTAGCTAATCCCCTGAGGAGGGGAGGATGGGGCAGACTATCCATTTCCTACTTGCCTCCAGTTTTAGCCATCGGAGACACATCTGAGGGATGGCTGAGCTGGCAAAGCCCATCTTTGCGTTTGGAAAGATGCTCACTGGAAGTTCTTAGAGTCCCTCTTCATGGTTCAAGAGACTGATTTAAATAGAGTTCTACCATGCACTGTTTTTCTTTTCCTCAGAACCTCATTTCTAACCTTGGCTGATTTTTTATGTCTTCTCTCCTTAGCAGTAATTACATCTGCTGTCTCAATAAAAGGTCACAACTATTAATGGGTTTGTGTGGCATAGTATGGCCACAGTGATCCCCGTGCTATTTTTGATGGTGCTAATGACCCTCTCCTCCCTAAAACACTTCTATTACCTTGTATAGGATATAATAAAGCTGTAGAATTCATTGTGTCTTTGCCCCAGCCATGTACTTACAAAAACAAGACATTTGTGAGGGTAAAGCATCAGCCAGTTTGGTCTTAGATCAGAAAACAAAGCCATGACTTCCTTTTGCTATTTTAGTGTCAGTTGAAAACAGAATTCATGTATGCTCTAACAGAAGTATTTCTGGAAGAGGAATAAACCTAGCTAAGGAGCCTGGGGGAGATTAGGGCCCAAGCTTAGACTAGATGTACAGACAATTGAGTCTAAATCCCCATTACACAAGAAGTTCTAGTCTGAACTGATAACTGTTTTTCCCATAAAGTTAAATAAAACAATAACCTCTCTCAAATTACAGTAATTCATGCTCTTCATAAGACTTCTGCCAGAAATTCTCAAGTGGCTAAATGGTAGCACAAGTTGTGCTATAACTTTGTAAACAAAAGCTTCTTTCTCAGGGGGTGCCGAGATGGTCCTTGACAGCATTAGAGAAAAGATGAGGGAATACAAGTCAGGAAAAAGCAAAAATAAAGTAGGCATAGAGAAAAAATTCAAGGAAGGGATGCTATAAAAGCCTTTCAAGAATATAGATTTATACCAGAGATTTATTAAATTTGAGGGCCTATAACATTGAATTAATTTATTTAAAGAAAAAATTTTAAAATTCTTTTACAAAGTACCTGCCACTGTGTTAGGCATTCTGGGGAATCTGAGAGAAATAGAAAGGCACCAGAGTAATATGGTTAGTATAAAGCACTCAATATTTAGAGTCAATGGAAGCTTGTGTTCAAGTTGAGATTTTACCACCACTTATCAGCTGTATCCTCTGGTTAATTACTTAACTGTAGGTCTACTGATCACTGCCTACCCTGCTCTACCATTATACAAATTATCTCATAGTATTGTTCTGAGGATTAAACAAAACACCAACCACAGGTCACAGATGATGAAATTTTCAAGATATTTAATAATTTGTAATTACCACTTGTAGAAACCACAGTCCCTGCCTGTAGGATCTTACTTCACAGAAAACAAAGACCCAAGAGCCCTAAAATGAGTAAAGAAAGATGAAACTTTGTAGGTTTACAAGAAAGATGATTAAAATAAGTGGTATGCTGGGTGTGGTGGCATGCGCCTGTAGTCCCAGCTACTTGGGAGTCTGAGGCAGGAGAATCACTTGAACCAAGAAGGCGGAGGTTGCGGCGAAGCCGAGATCATGCCATTGCACTCCGGCCTGGGTAACAAGAGTGAAACTCTTATTTCTTACATTATTAAGTGGTATTTCTTACATTATTAGCAAGTGGTGTAGAGTGTATAATCTGTATGAGATGCTAGTCCTGTAGTTTTTTGTTTCACTATTGAAAACTCTATGAAGTGACATTGGCCATATGGCAGTATATGAGATACCAGCTTTTATTCGCCTACCGAAAACAATGAGACAGCAATTGATATGGTCTGGCTCTGCGTCCCCACCCAAATTTCATCTTGTAGTCTGATTTGTAATCACCACGTGTTGGGGTGGGATCTCATGGAAAGTGATTAGATCATGGGGGAGGGGAAAGGTTCCCCCACGCTGTTCCAATACTGAGTTCTCATGAGATCTGATGGGTTTATAAGGAGCTTTTCCCCCTTCACTCTGCACTTCTTGCTGCTGCCATGTGAAGAAGGCCATGTTTGCTTCCCTTGCCACCATAGTTCTAAGTTTCCTGATGCCTCCTTAGCCCTGTAGAACTGTATGCCAGTTAAACTTGTTTCCTCTGTAAATTACTCAGTCTTGGGCAGTTTTTTATAGCAGCATGAGAACCGACTAATACAGTAAATTACCACAGAAAACGAGGCACTGCTGTAAAGATACGTGAAAATGTGGCAGCGACTTTGGAACTCGGTAACAGGCAGAGGTTGGAAGAGTTTGGAAGGCTCAGAAGAAGACAGGAAAATGTGGGACAGTTTGGAATTTCCTCGAGACTTGTTGAATGCATTTGACCAAAATGCTGATAGTAATATGGTAACACTCAAGACACTAAGGCTCCCTTTCCCATTCTTCTGGCATATGGAAAATAAAGTCTAGACTAGACTAAGGTGGTCTTAGATGAAGATGAGGAACTCACTGGGACGTGGAGTAAAAGTCACTCTTGCTATGCAAAGAGACTGGCAGCATTTTGGCCTTGCCCTAGAGAGCTGTGGAACTTTGAACTTGAGAGAGGTTATTTGGAGTATCTGGCAGAAGAAATTTCTTTCTTTTTTTTTTGAGACGGAGTTTCGCTCTTGTTACCCAGGCTGGAGTGCAATGGCGCGATCTCGGCTCACCGCAACCTCTGCCTCCTGGGTTCAGGCAATTCTCCTGCCTCAGCTTCCCGAGTAGCTGGGATTACAGGCACGCGCCACCATGCCCAGCTAATTTTTTGTATTTTTAGTAGAGACGGGGTTTCACTATGTTGACCAGGATGGTCTTGATCTCTTGACCTCGTGATCCACACGCCTCGGCCTCCCAAAGTGCTGGGATTACAGGCGTGAGCCACCGCACCCGGCCTAGCAGAAGAAATTTCTAAGCTGTAAAGCATTCAAGAGGAAGCAGAGCATAAAAGTTTGAAAAATTTGCAGCCTGATGATGTGATATAGAAGAAAACCCATTTTCTGGGGAGCAATTGAAGCTGTCTGCAGGAAATCGCTTAAGTAACGAGAAGCCAAATGTTAATCACCAAGACAATGGAGAAAATATTTCCAGGACGTGTCAGAGACCTTCATGGAAGCCCCTCCCATCACAGGCTGCAAGGACCGAAAGGGAATGATGGTTTCCTGGGCAGAGCTCAGGTCCCCCCTGCTGTATGAAACCTTTGGATATGGTGCCCCATGTCCCAGCTGCTTCAACTCCAGCCATGGCTTCAAGGGGCCAATGTACAGCTCAGACACTTGCTTCAGAGGGTGCAAGCCCCAAGCCGTGGCAGTTTACATGTGGTGTTGGGCCTGCAAGTACACAGAAGTCAAGAATTGAGGTTTGGGTACCTTTGCCTAGATTTCAGAGGTTGTATAGAAATGCCTGGATGTTCAGGAACAAGATTGCTATAGGGGTGGGGTCCTTATGAAGAACCTCTGTTGGGGCAGTTTGGAAGGGAAATGTGGGGTTGGAGCCCCCATGCAGAGTCCGTACTGGGGCACAGTGGAGCTGTGAGAAAAGGGACATCATCTGCTAGACCCCAGTATGGTAGATCTACTGACAGCTCACACTGTGCACCTGGAAAAACCACAGACACACAACATCAGCCTATGAAAGCAGCAGCCAGTAAGGGGGTGGTACCCTGAAAAGCCACAGGAGCAGAGATGCCCGAGGCCATGGGAGCCCACCTCTTGCATTAGCATGACCCAGATGTGAGACATGGAGAGCTCATTTTGGAACTTTAAGGTTTAATAATTGCTCTATTGGGTTTCCTCTTGAATGGGGACTGTAACCCCTTTGTTTTAGACAATTTCTCCTATTTGGAATGTGTGCATTTATCCAATGCCTGTACCCCCATTATATCTTGGAAGTAACTAATTTGCTTTTGATTTTACAGGCTCATAGGCAGAAGGGACTTGCTTTGTCTCAGATGAGACTATGGATTTGGACTTTGGGGTTAATGCTGGAATGTGTTAAGACTTGGGGAACTGTTGGGAAGGCATAATTGTGTTTTGAAATGTAAGAAAGAGGAGATTTGGGAGGGGCCAGGGATGGAATGATACAGTCTGGCTCTGTGTTCTCACCCAAATCTCTTCTTGAATTGTAATACAAATTGTAATCCCCACATGTTGGGGGAGGGACCTCATGGGAGGTGATTAGATCACGGAGGTAGTTCCTCCAAGCTGTTCTCATGATAGTGAGTGTGTTCTTATGAGATCTGATGGTTTTATGAGGGTTTTTTTCCTCCTTCCCTCTGCACTTCTTCCTGTTGTCATGTAAAGAAGGATGTGTTTGTTTCCCTTGTTGCCATGATTGTAAATTTCCTGAGGCCTTCTGAGCACTGCAGAACCGAGTCAATTAAACCTCTTTCATTTATAAATTACCCAGTCTTGGGCAGTTCTTTATAGCAGCATGCGAATGGACTAATAATATAAATCATTCTACTACAAGGACACGTGCACACGAATGTGCATTGCAGCACTGTTTACAATAGCAAAGACCTGGAACCAACCCAAATGTCCAACGATGATAGACTGGATAGGGAAAATGTGGTACATATACACCATGGAATATTACGCAGCCATCAAAAACGATGAGTTCACGTCCTTTGTAGGGACATGGATGAACCTGGAAACCATCATTCTCAGCAAACTGACACAAGAGCAGAAAATCAAACACCGTATATTCTCACTCATAGTCGGGTGTTGAACAATGAGAACACAAGGACACAGGGAGGGGAGCACTACACACTGGGGTCTGTTGGGGGGAAATGGGGGAGGGGCGGGGGGTGAGGAAGTGGGAAGAGATAACATGGGGAGAAATGACAGATACAGGTGAGGGGACGGAAGGCAGCAAACCACACTGCCATGTGTGTACCTATG